TATTAAATCAAAGCGTCCCAACAGAGCATGAAAATCCTTAGCCAAACTGGAAGACCTTGAGTCAATGTGTATATTAAAGTCCCCAAGAATAAGGATCCTCTTAAATCTGAGGCATAAAAATTAAAATAAATCGGCAAACTCACCTAAAAAGGCTCCAATAGGTGTGGGTGGTCTATAAACCGTGGCAATGATGGGAGAGTGGGGAACAGAGACGTTTGAAACAAGACAAAAGAAGAGGGAAGAGGTGCAGTAACAGCGTTGCCCCCGTCTCTGCCGGAGAGACGCAGGAGGTCGAACAAGCCGCACCCCGGAGCGACTAGCTGGGTGAGCAGGACACCACCGGTTTCAGTAAAGCACAGAAAGTCACGTTTTTTCCTGTGATAAAGTCACATATAAGAAGAGCCTTATTGTTCGCTGAGCGGTGTGGAGTAGTGCTGATCTGGCCGGTCTCAGAAGTTTTGAGGTTGGTGCCGGTGCCGGATGGACCTGCAGTCTTGCGCCGAGGGGCAGGGACAGGGACTCCGCAGGCAGACGAGGGAAAGAAACGGCGTCCTGGGCTGTGGTGAATGTAACACATCTGTCGCAGGATCCCAGTATTACGGCAAGAATCATACGGGTTTTTTTCCAGGAAATAATTCCATTTCAGTTGCACTGAGGAGTACCTTAGAGGCACATTCATGGAATCTGCGATAAAGCGACAAAAACCTGGGAAATAAACCCTGAATCCAGGCAGTAGCAGGTGGTTAAAAGTTCTCAGTTGAACAATTCCATCGGGGAGAAGTCGGGAGTAGAAGCAGCAGTCATGGGGAAGTCCCGTTTGTAGATTGCAAAAATAAATAATTAAAGACGAGGGTGACAGAGAAAGAAGGAAAAAATAAAAAGCAGATAAAAAAAATGCAAACTAGCAGAAACATCAGAAAAAAATGTTACAAGACAATGAAAATGTATGACTCCAGTGCATAGAAATCTCTGTGCATGCAGATATGGTGAGCACAGAGCCAGCCCAGGCCATTTGAGGAAAAGCCCAGGAAGAGCCAGGAATCCAGACTTGAACAAAGAAAGGGAAGGGAGTCTACGAGCACAAGTGGGAAGACAACGGACAGTGACCGGACAGTGACAGTGACCAAATACCCCAAAAATACTCTGTGTCCATCAGGGTGCGAGGATCCTGTGTCTCATCTACAGATGGAGCACAGCAGCAAGACAGATGTGTCATCGGGGCCCGAGTGCAGGAGAGATGTACCTGTTTGCAGAACAGTTTAAAAACAGTGAGGCAGATGGTTGGTTCTGCTCAGCTGTGTTTCCTGCCAGGATAACTTTACCATAGATGAGACATATGTCCAAAAGTGCTTGAGGACTTTGTCGAGAAGTGATTATTTCTAGAACAGAGAGAAAAGCAGCTAAGATTTTAAATAGATTCAATTCAATCTTTATTGTCCCATCTGGGGAAATGTATTTTACAGCACGCTCCCAACAGCACAATGACAGACAGGAAGTCAGTGCAACATTGTTACAGCAAGAAGGGAGAAGTTAGTTACACTTTGTTTGAAAGAGATATTGTGGTGGAGATGAAAGATTTCCTGTGTCTATTAGTATCACACTTGGGGCTATAGCCAGCAGCTATATCACCCTGCAGCTCCCAGCTGGCAGCCCACTGATGCTCAGCAGCTGTGAGCCTGGCCAGTACCCGGATGGGAGACTCCTGGGAAAAACTAAGGTTGCTGCTGGGAGAGGCGTTAGTGGGGCCAATAGGGGGCGCTCACCCTGTAGTCTGTGTAGGTCCTAATGCCATTAAAAATTAAAAATCCCAGGATGTTTCTCAAAAAGAGTAGGGCTGTTACCCCGGTGTCCTAGCCTTTACCAATCATGGCCTCCTAATAATCCCCAGCTCTGAACTGGCTTCATCACTCTGTCCTCCTCCCCATTGAGAGATGGTGTGTGGGGAGTGTACTGGCGCACTATAGCTGCTGATGCATCATCCAGGTGGGGCTGCACACTGGTGCTGGTGGAGGGGATCCCCATTACCTGTAAAGCATTTTGAGTGGAGTGTCCAGAAAAGAGCTGTACAAATGTAAGGAATAATTATTATTAATTATTCAAATTTTACCAACCAAGAAGTCAGTGTAACAGGGTTAAAGCAAGATAAGAGGACATAGGTAAGGAGAAGATGGTTACAATGTATTGTTTGAAAGCGATATTGCAGTGGGGATGAAAGATTTCTTGTGTCTGTTAGTATCACACCTGGGACACAGAGGCGTCTCCCAGATGGGAGAAGTGTGAGCTTGCAGAGGAGGGAGTGAGAGACACCATCCAAAATACACACCGCTGTCTTTGTCACCCTTGTCTGTAGAGGAGATTTAAGGTGATTTGAGTTGAATTTGCTACTTATTTTGATTAATTTTACCAGCCTATTGTGATCAATGGTACCGACCGATGTTACCAAAACAGCAAGTGAGACAGTTTGTTAGTACACTTTCAATCAAAGACTTGTGGAAAAGTGTTAGGATGGTTCTACCTTGAAATAGGTTAATTTTATTAGAAAAAAGAGTCTCTGTTGTCCTTTTTTACAAACATTATCTGTACCTGCGGTCTTTGTCAAAATTAATTTTAATAGATTCTCCAAATACTGGGAGGTCGGTATCTGGGGGCAGTTGGGGTGGTTGAGGGTTTCATTTCAAAAATGTGTAAAACACATTTACTGATGTGGCTGTCTCTATTCTATCTAATTGCATCTCTGACATAAAAATTTGGATGACTCAAAACTTCCTTCATCTTAACTGTGACAAGACTGAAGTCATGCTTATTGGTACCCCCCACCAACTTCGTAAAGCCAGTCCTGTAACCCTGTCTGTAGATGGCTCTGTACTTGAGCTCCAATCAAAATTGAAAAACCTTGGGGTTATATTCGATTCTGGCTTAACATTCGACCCACATGTACAGCATACTGTCAAAACATCTTTTTTTCACCTTAGAAATATCGCAAGACTACGCCCTATGCTATCATTAACTGTGGCTGAAAAGCTGATCAACATATTTGTATTCTCTCGAATTGACTACTGCAGTGCTCTGCTCCCTGGGGTATCTAAATCTACTCTGAACAAGCTGCAGTATGTCCAAAATTCAGCAGCCAGAATCCTGACCAGATCTAGTGCAAGTGTTCACATTACTCCTATCCTGGAGTCCTTGCACTGGCTTCCGGTCAAATTCCGCGTAGACTTTAATATCCTCATGCTCACCTACAAGGCTTTACATGGCTTGGCACCTCAATACCTGTCTGAACTTTTATCGCCCTACTCCCCACCTCGCAACCTCCGCTCTTCAAATTCTGCCCTCCTTACTGTCCCCCAAGCCCGTCTACATTGTATGGGCGACAGGGCCTTCTCCTGCTATGCCCCCAAGCTCTGGAACTCCTTGCCCAAGGATATTAGAGAGTCACCTTCTCTAAACTCCTTCAAATCCAGACTCAAAACCCTCCTTTTCAGAAAAGCCTTTACTTAACTGGTTCCATTCTTCACCCCTCTGCTCTTCTTAATACCATCTTCCACGGTCTCCTCTATTGTTATTGTTGTATTGTTGTAATTATAATTGTGTCCTGTCTTGTGAAATTTTCTTATTTATTGTTGTAGTCTTCTTATTTATTGTTATTGTCATCCTGTAAAGCGCTTTGAGAAGCCACCTTTAAAGGCGCTATATAAAATAAAGTTTATTATTATTATTATTATTATTATTATTTAATTTATTTACAAGCTGTTGCCCACCCATGACATCTAACACAGGAACAGTACATCCTTACTCTTGTGGGTGATACTGCCCATGGATTTAATTCCCGACCATGCCCAGCTGGACTAACCTACAGCCAGGGTATTCCTGCTCCTTCCCTGTACTCTGCCTTTGCTTTCCTTCTGTGCTTCATTCCTGAGCTCTGGCTTCCTGGGAGAAAGCAAGGTTCTTTTGAAGCGGTATATGTTTAAAACTCTTTTGACTCTTGGAGGGAAGGGGTTCTGTTTTACAAGTTATTAAATAGTTTGCAGACACCCAGGCCCAAATGTCTTCCAAGACCTGAGATGATAGAGATTTTCCACAAGCAGTTTATATTCAAACTGGCAAACATGTCTACAAGCCACACGGAGACACTTTAAAAACTTCCCACTAGAGGTCACTAAAAGCCACTTTTCGTTTGTAAGCGATCTCACCTGGACGTTAATTATCGTATTATTGGATATGATGTTAGAATGTACAATGTCTCTGGGGACTGACAGATGGTGTGTTAAAGTATAAAAATGATTTTGCATGGTGTTTGAGATCAGGAAGTTGTCAGATTACTCTGAAGGGGTTTCTCTGAGAGCCTTTTTGTTTATAAGACCTACAAGAACTCCACAATAAACTCTCTGAAATGCAGTTGTTGTGAGCTGTGTGCAGATCTCTAGAGCAACCTTATCACGCAGCAGGTCTGTCACAAGTGTCTGTAGTTCGTGAGGAAGGAACTGCTGCTCAGGAGGGTTTCATTTGTCTTGTTCCAGCCTGGTTTCTCCAGCACTTTCCCCGGCTGAAGGTGTTCGGGCTCAAGTCAGCCCACTGCCGGTGCTTCCCCGAGCTGGCCACAGCCATCGCCTCTTGCCAGACACTTGAACAGATCTCCTTCGAGGACTTCCCTGAGTTTAACTGCGGTGCCTCAGCTTTCGGTGAGTACTCGGATCTCCCTTCCGTGCGGCCGCTTTCGCCGGCGCCACACTACGCAGCTTTCCTGGGATTTTCAGTCGAAGCCTTCATTTACATAATGGTGAGAAAAGCACAGCGAGTTGCAGAGAGTCACGGCGCACCCCCGTTACCGTCAGTTGTGTAGTGTGACACCCCCAGCGTGCTTAACAGCCCCTACGCCTCTCTGCGTCTCGCTACAGTAATATCAGACTGGTTGGATTTCCTCGAAGCCAGCCGCAGGTCGTAGGGGCAGGCTCTCGTGTCTGCGACAGTCACAGACAGCGAGCGCATACAATGCCCACAAGCAGCGAAGAGCAATGGAGGTCAAGCCATGTTGTCCTCGACCAAGTAAATGTGGTCTACTCCAAGTGGTCTTCTCCATTCGGCGTATCCTCTTTTTTCTCGTCACAAAGGAGAGCACGGGCAACAGCACCGGCGGCAACACCTGCTTGCTCTCCATGTGGTTTGTTGACTGTCGTGCGGCGCTCCTCTTGTGCTCCGCGTTGACCTCGCGGCGCAATACGAGGACCGGGAATATGGAACCGTGATGAAAGTCATGAGGGAATCATGTGATTAGTCACCCCCTGCGATTCCTAGTCGGATAATCTGACACCCTCTAGGACAGAAAAGGCAATGAGATTCAGCAACCGCAGTCGTTCACTTTGATGTGCTCTCTGATGAGCAGGCGTGTCGAGTCCTGCAGTGTGATGCCGGTATTAGAAGCAAGTGAGTTTAGAGTCCAGACCTTCCAGCTGCTTGCATTGTTACCCACAAGGCTCACATGAGGGCCGGGGCTGCAGCATGGCTCTGTGAGCTGTTGTGATAGGAGGAGGATTCAAATTAAAATCAGCTAAGGAGGTTTTTAGCTGCTACACTCTTCATTGAAAGCTCTCTGGGCTCGTTTGACTTCCTTATGTAATACGATTTAGAAAACTCCCAGAAGAGAGATGTTACAAACACAAGCAGGTCCGGCTTTTCTTACCTTGTGGCCAGAAGCGAATTCGTGCAGGGATGTGTTTATCCCTGGGAGTCACTGTCTACAGAGTGGCAAGGCAGTTTTTCCCGGGTCCAGAGCAAAGTCCTGCGCTGCTCATCTCGCACAGCAGCCTGGAGCTCAATACAAGCCGGCGTCTCGGGGGTCCGGCTGGCCTCCCGGTTCTCACGCAGGGGTCGGTTTGTGTCTCGCCAGCGGCCGCTCTGCCCTGCTTCCAGCAGCTGAAGGGCCTGGACCTGCACAGCCAGCGCATCGAGGGCCCGGCTGCAGCGCAGGAGTTTGGTGAGGCGCGCCGCTCGGACCTTCCCCTCGCCAGCTGCGAGCGTGCGTGAGGCTCAGTGTGAGAAGGGTGTCCCTGTTCCCGCAGCTCGCGCCCTGGGCTCTCTGGCGCACCTGGAGCGGCTGCAGCTCCCGGGGGGGACGGGCATGAAGGCCGCGATCTCCACGGTGCTGGCACAGCTGCCACGCCTGCCCCGGCTCGCCCACCTGTCCGCCCCCCTGCTCCTGGAGGACCGCAGCCTGCAGCAGCTGGGTAAGGCCTGCCCGAGGGAACCCAT